AGCAAAGATGGCTGACATATCTATGGCTGGAGAGAACATTGCGCAGGGGTTGCGCATTGCAATTCTCCCAGAAGCCACCACCATTCCGAGGCGTACGGGCAGCACGCTCTCAGGTACGGGGTCATTAGAGGCACTGCAAGCGGAGGTCTCCTCTCTGCTGAGTCTAGCCGCAGCAGTAGAGGTAGACCCGCAGGAGGCCACCAGGGGGCTGTACTCCCCTTACTTCTAAGTGCCAAAGAAGTCAGGCGGGGTGCGTCCCATTTTGGATCTGCGCGTGTTGAACGAGTGCATTTCCAAACGGCAGTTTCGGATGCTGCCCACAAAGCAGCTCCTCGAGTGTGTCAGGCAGGGAGATTGGATATCCACCATAGACCTGACAGATGCGTACTTCCACGTGCCGATAGTGCCGGAACACAGGAGGTTCTGCGCTTTGCAGTGGGAGAGAGGAATTACGAGTACTGTCGTTTTCCCCTTGGGCTACGCACTCGCGCCGTGGAGGCAGCACTGGAGCCGCTCAGACGCGCAGGGGTAAGAATTTAATCTACATAGACGTCGGGTTAATTCTGGCCTCATCCAGGGAAGTGGCCGTGAGTCATACGCACTGGGTCCTGTCCCACATACAGCGCCTGGGCTTTGTGGTTAACAGGGAGACAATTAACAGTTACCTAATGTAACTTAAGTTCTACGAATAGGTGCACGTGATATCCCACTAGCGAAGTCCGCTAAGGGACGTAGCACCATGACGTAGAAGCAGGCTGCAACCGGCTCAGCGCATGATCTATCTCGGTCTGCAGCTAGACTCTGTGACATTCCGTGCTGCATTGTCCGTGGACAGACGGATGAACACTACCCGTCTGCCCAGGGAGGTTCTGGCGGGCCCCAGAGTCCCCGCTCGGCGCCTCAGGTCCCTGCTGGGAATGATGGCGGCGGCTCATGCTGGGTGCGGCTAGGCCTTCTCCACTTGAGGAATTTTCAGAGGTGGTTCTCACGCCTCAGGCTTCACCCCTCCCGGGACGGGGGGAGGCTGATCTGGGTTCCCCAAGTGGCAGCATCGAACATCAGGTTCTGGCTCACTCCGGGTCTTCTACGGGACGGAGTGACTCTGGCCGGCGCCGTGTCTCACGTGGAGATGTTCACGGACGCATCGCTCGAAGGATGGGGCGGGGTCCTCGGCCAGAGTTCTGTAGGAGGCTGCTGGTCGGACTCAGCCCGTCACATCAACCTGCTGGAGATGGAGGCAGTGCACAGGGTACTGCTGCACTTTGCTCCTCAGCTGCAGGGGAGACACGTGATGGTGCGCTCAGACAACACCACAGTGGTCTCCTATCTGAACAGGCAGGGGGGCACCAGGTCCCCCGCTCTCCATCGCATGGCGACGGTGACGCTGCTGTGGGCGGCGCTTCACCTCCTGTCTCTCAGGGCGCGCCAGGGCAGACAGGATGTCCAGGGGGGGGTCCACTCCAGGACGAGTGGGGCCTGGCCCCAGGGGTGGCTGCGGAGATCTGGCGGAGGTTCGGCCGTCCAGTGGTCGACCTTTTTCGCCAGTGCAGAAAACGCACAGTGCCCGTCCTGGTTCGCCTCAAGGGCCGCGGACCAGCCGCCCTTAGACGTGGACGCTCTGGCTCATTACCCCTGGCCAGGGGGCCTGCTGTACGCGTTCCCCACCAGTGCGTCTCCTGCCGGTCCTGCTACGGAGGATCGAACAGGAGAGGAGGTCGGTGATCCTGGTGGCGCCGGACAGTCCGCATGCCCGGTGGTTCCCCTTCCTGAGGGGCATGGCGGTGATGGAGCCCTGGGCCCTCCCGGACGAGCCGGGGGCTCTAGTCCAGGGGGGGAGGAGCCCTGTTTTCACGCCTGATAATCGGCCGCAGGCTCTGGGTTGGAGGCTGAGAGGCGGAACCTCCTAGACCTGGGTCTTCCCCCTGCGGTGGTGGAGACCACTCAGGGGGCGAGGGCGCCGTCCACTGTGAGGGCCTACGCCACGAGGTGGAGGCTCTTTAGCGACTGGTGCGGTTTTCGTTCCTGGGATCCCAGGCGTTGCCCGCTGGAGGGGGACCTGGGATTCCTTGACAAGGGGAGGGCTGTCGCCACCTTGGCGGTGTTCGCGGCAGCCATTACTTCGGGTCACGACGGATTCGGGGGGTTCACAGCCCGCTCTCATCCGTTGGTTAACGTTTTCTGCGGGGGGCACGTAGGAGGAGGCCCCCGCTCCAGAGAACGCCCCGGTTTGGGACCTCAGGGTGGTCCTTAGGGGGCTGTCGGGTCCGCCTTTTGAACCGGCGGCGGAGGCGAGTCCCGAGTGTGTCGCTTTAAGACGGCCCTCTTGTTGGCGTTGGAGTTGGCGTCTGCTAAGAGGGCGGGCGACTTGTGTGCGCTCTCTGTCCATGCGTCTTGCCTGTCCTTGGAGAGGGCGACGGCATGGTGGTATTGTGGCCCAATCCGGCTTTTCTCCCCAAGGTCATCACATCGGCCTTTAGGTCGAGAGTCATCAGGATTAGGGCTTTCTATCCGCCACCGCATGCCTCCCCCGAGGAGGAGCGGCGGCACCTTCTGTGTCCTGTCAGAATGCTGAGGCATTACCTGGCCATGACGTCGTCATTCAGGTTGGGTGGCCAGCTGTTTGTGTGTCTGGGCCCCAAGAACAGGGGCGCCCCGCTGTCGGCTCAGCGGCTGGCGCACTGGGTTGCCACGGCTGTGCGGCGGGCGTATCAGACGCAGGGTCTGGCCCTCCCGGTGGGCTTCAGGTCGCATTCCACGCGGTGGGATGGCGGCCTCTACGGCCCTTCTCAGGGGGGGTGTCGGTCGAGGACGTATGCCGTGCGGCTTCTTGGGCTTCGTCCTCCTCTTTCGTCCGGTCTTATCTTTTGGATGTGTCGGACCGGTCGGTGGCCCATTCCGTGCTGAGTGCAGCGACTGAGTTAGACCGTTAGGTCCCTCCTCTGAGGGGGCCTTCGGTTTACTTTCCGCCCTGGTTCAGGAGCTCTTGGGAGAGGCATCCTACAGGTGCGGTACATATATGTGTGTTTTGGTCGGTCTGGTAGTCCACGTCAGGAGCCCTTGGGAGAGGCGTCCTGTGACTACGGATGACCTATATCTGTGTTACGTGGGGGTATCCTTGGTAGGAGTGGCCCTGTAACACGCATTGTTTCTTCTGCCCTGAGTCCTCTCACTGTGTGAGGGTCTTGCTCGGGCGGAGCTCCAATCACTCTTCGCTGGCCTGCTGGGAGTACATTTTCCTACGGCCTCCGCGTTGTGTCCCACTAGCGAAGTCCTAAGGGACGTAGCACCATGACGTAGAATTAATAGTTACCTAATGTAACTTAAGTTCTACGAATAGGTGCGTAGTCCCTTAGCTACGAGCCCATCAGGCCAGCCCGGCTTGGCAGAGTTCAAGAGGGGGTGCGGCCTTGTGCAGGGGCATTTATAGAGGAGGGTGGCAGGTGATTGGAGCAAATTATTTTGATCTCTCTGGCGTGTGACCTGGGGGTCACGAGTGATATCCCACTAGCGAAGTCCTAAGGGACTACGCACCTATTCGTAGAACTTAAGTTACATTAGGTAACTATTAATTCTTGAAATCTCGAAATTATAAGCAACCAAATCATTTAGATTTGTTTTTATGCTAAACGTTCCCACAATCCTGTGCACGCAAACACACACAGACCTCTGCATCCACTCTGATCTCTGCGTAAGTATGAGTTTGACCCTTTGATCTGCATTTACTTAAACGCCACAAAACCCACCGGTCTCTTTCCCAGCATGCAGAGCGCGCGCCGAACGGACTTCCCCACTTTTACTATTTCCACACTCACAGACAGACAGACAGCCAGTCCAATTAAAAGTAGCCATCGATTATGGATAGCTGCCTGCCTGCTGCCTGCCTGCGCGTAAAGCCCACGATAGTCGGTGCCGATAGGGGCCCGGCGAGCGCGCACTAACCAGAGCTGACACAAGCATATTAGATGTGGACTGGGTTAATTCACGCGCACTTGGCCCCTGTGTTCTCTCCTACCTGCCGCGGCTTAAACGCTCATCATCTAAGGTGCTTCCACGGGCTGTCGAAGGCTACAGCCATTGATCTGAAAGGGAAGCGCGCACATTACACTCGTAGTCTATGTAGTCCCAGTCCTCAAACTACACCAGCTGTGAGTCTGAATATTAGCATCTCATGGGACCAATAGGAAAGAATCCAGTCATATAATAGGCTACTGTTATGTGATAATTCATGATTTTATTGTTTCTTTTCTCGTTTTGTTGCACTTTGAGTTGCCTGTATACTGTGCTGTTCAAATAAACATGCCCTGGTCGTTCCGTGCTTTGCCATTTTATTACTGGACCTATAGTCTGTAATAAAATTGAATTGAACTGATTAATGATAGATACGTTCACATAACTGTATTATACGACCAAAACAAGGACTGGGCTGAAGCAACTTTGACGTCACATCTCAAACAGTATATCCTAAAAAAAATTGTGTTAAACAAAAAATACTTATTCTGATTTCAACCCGGTATGAAGAACATGTCTGCATCATCAGAGGCTATGTGATTGTACTAAAGCCGTTGGTTCCAATAGACCCCAAACCAAGTCAATATAGCACTGCTTATAAGGCAACTCAAAGTGTGTGTGTATGAGAAGGCCCTTAGTTCACATCTATTCCGTGTTGTCCCGTGCTAAAAGCTCCCGAACTAAATATACCCTTTCCCCCCCTCCCCATCCCCTCTCCCCCTTCCCCACCCGCTCCACCCTCTCCACCCTCTATCCCCCCTCACCCCCCTCACCATAACGCCGCAGATGAAGAGCGCCAGGCCCGGTTCCTCTCCACCCGAACACAGAGGGAGGGACGCGGCTCTACCTCGGCATATGCTCGCCATTACACCGCGCTGATGGAACACAACGAGATCAGAGATAATTGACGTAAAAGATGACAGAGCATCTCGGAGCTTAGCGGGAAAAGCGCTGCGTATTATGCCGTATCAGCTCCGTAATGCGGCTGATTAATGAAAGATCGGCCCCTACTCACTCAAGTGATCCGGTGAAAAATGACTTTTGTGTTGTCATTCCGACAAGTAGCACCCACCGCCGGAAGAGACTATTAGCTGGAATCATTATCTTTTCGTGTAGATTTTTGGCTTCCTCGCCGTCATGTGCACGGTGCTGGCCATTGGAAAACTTTGTGTGGGAGCTGAAGGACGGATCGCAGTTCACGGTTTTTTCTGCCGAGACAAGAAGGCACCGGCGCCTCCCTGTCCGCCTTCCTCGCCTTCTGGTCCTACATCATCATCCTCAACACCGTGGTGCCGATCTCTCTTTATGTCAGGTAAGAATCACGTGTTATTATAGTTTGTTGAGGCAGAATCTGACCCAGAATCAGCCTCTTGCAGAGCGGAGAAAACATAGAGAATCTTTTTTGTTAAGTACTTTGAGTTGCACTTGTGAACTGTGCTACACTAATAAACTTACCTTCCGTAGAGAAGCCATGTACAAATCTCAGAAAATAAAAATGAATGCACATGTTTTTAGCCAGAAGGAGCGAAGTTACAAGTTTGTGCCAGAATCAATCAAAAATTATCTTTATAGCACAGTTCATGTGAAAAGTATTTCAAAATATTTCACATTGACCAAATAGATTGTTAAAACCCACAATTAACTAATTCAATCTGAATGAATCTGAACGGCAAATATTAACTGTTTTCAGTCCCGAGTCAAATATATCCAGGTTAGGGGCCTGTCTCACTCCTTCAAGAAGATTGTTCCAGATTTTAAGTGCATAGGTCTGGAGTGCTGCCTGCACATGTTAAGTCCTGACTCAGAGTCCCAGCAGGAGGCCAGTCCCTGTGCTCCTCAGAGTCCCAGCAGGAGATCAGTCCCTATGCTCCTCAGAGTCCCAGCAGGAGGCCAGTCCCTGTGCTCCTCAGAGTCCCAGCAGGAGACCAGTCCCTGTGCTCCTCAGAGTCCCAGCAGGAGATCAGACCCTGTGCTCCTCAGAGTCCCAGCAGGAGTCCAGTCCCTGTGCTCCTCAGAGTCCCAGCAGGAGGCCAGACCCTGTGCTCCTCAGAGTCCCAGCAGGAGGCCAGTCCCTGTGCTCCTCAGAGTCCCAGCAGGAGGCCAGTCCCTGTGCTCCTCAGAGTCTGACTTGGATCATAAGGCACTAACATGTCACAGATGTAATTTGGTGCGAGGCCATGGAGAGACACAATTCAAGCTGCTTTTACATTCTTCTCTATGAGCCAGTGCAGAGACCTGTGAACTGGACTGATGCGATCGTACTTCCTGGTTCTAGTCAGGACTCGATTAGGACTCGATATAAGCCGGAATGGATCAGAAAGCAACTCCATGTCTGTTCAAAATCTGACATATCTCCTTTAAACTATTACACAACCTTGAAATACCGGTTTGTTTTTAATGTATTTATTCATAATCAAGCCAAAACCCCTACACACACAACACACACCACACACACAGCCTCACACTCAGCACACACACACACCACATATATACACAGATAAGTGGGGGTTTGTACTCAGAGCACCAGTTTTGTGTATTAATGTTTATTTGTATTTGTACTTTGAAAGCCTCTAAGGACAGCAAAAACGTTCTTTTCCTACAGTGTGGAGCTTCAATTCGACTGGGAAACAGTCTTCTACATTCAAGAGGGACAGTGAAGATTGTACTCACTCCCGCGAACGACACGGCGGCGGAGGCTCGGACCACGACCCTGAACGAGGAGCTGGGCCAGATCAAGTACGTCTTCAGCGACAAAACCGGAACTCTGACCCAGAACATCATGACCTTCAACAAGTGCTCCATCAACGGCAAAACATACGGTGAGCCTGGCCCTGTTCCCGGACTTTCAACAGCTCCGGAAAAGATGTGCTGTGCCGCCATTGCTCACCCCTTGCTCTTCTGACGACCCCCTGTTTTTTAACATTGGGTACGTTCCCGAAGTTTCTGTTTCTGTGTACTGTTGATTGCGGGGGACGGATTGGGCAAGCATTGCTTCTAAAACAAGTGACGGGGAGCATTTCCTTTGATTACTGTGGTACGCCATGTATTTTGATCAAACCATAGTCTAAGTTTTACCATTTCATTATTTATTTTCTCTGACAATTTTGTTAGATTATCTGCTGAACAAAATCATGGAAAAGTATCCTGCAAATGTATGATGTACAGTATGTTTTGTATGTTATGAAGCTGATAAGTGCAACAGCATTTTCACGAGGGATTACATAAAAATTGAGGAAGAAAAAAATATATATATATGGGATTTTCTCTCAAAAAACTAAAAAAAGACAGGAATTGCATGTGTTCCAGGTTAATAGGTTGCGTCTATAATTGTATTTCAGTATTTCAGGCAAATGCTGACGGGAAAGAGAGACCTGCTGTAGTCCATTAAAATGCACTTCACATTCACTGACTTTAGAAGACCTATTCTGATAGTTGGGAGTTTGTTTTGACTTTTATAATTGGTGAAAAGCCAACACGGGTCCAGACAACTCGCTGAGCTTTCAGACTGCGAGTACCAGGCCTGCAGAATGAAAACTTCTAAAGGTTCTTACTATAAACAGAAGCATCCTATGTCTTCTTTAACACTTTCTTTTTCTATTTGCAGGTGATGGTTTTGACGTTAACATGGGACAGGAGACTAGGAAAATCACAGAGGTACGACTACCACACAGCACTGATTGGATTTGATTTGGACTTTACTATATTTTGGAGCCAAATCTAAAATTTATGAAATTCAGAAGCTATACGCGAAGGGCAGCTTTTACCCACAATTACAGGCAGACAAGATAATGAAAAACAAAACAAAACAAACTTTTATTATTTTCATTATAAATTCAGCATGGCAGTGAGCAAGAAAGCCCTTTTCATTTATCCCCACACGGTCAAACAATCACTCATAAAAGTAGAGGGCACCAGACACAACGGCCTTTAGAAGCACCGACTGGGAGGAGCGCGTTCTCTCTGCTGCGGAGTGCGCTAGTGTTGTGCGCCTCCATGAAATATGTTCGGTATAGCCGCAACCCGCATAGACGAGAAATATTAACAAAAGCTAGTACACCTACCAGTATCTCCGGTGTTTGAAAACTGAAGTTACACACCACCCTTTTGGGCTTCTATGGGGCTTTTTTCAAAATGGCCACGGGCAGCCCATCCCGCTCAGGAAAACTGAAAAAAAACGCATATGGTTCTATTCTCTAGTTTCATATAAAATAACAAATAAAAAATGATTCAAAAGTCCCTCTTTCAGGACACGGAGACGGTGGACTTCTCCTTTAACCCGCTCGCCGACCCTCGCTTCCAGTTCCACGATCGTTCTCTGGTGGAGGAGGTGAAGCTGGAGAATCCCGAGGCCCACGCGTTCTTCAGACTGCTGGCCCTCTGTCACACCGTCATGGCAGAGGAAAAGACAGAAGGTGACCAGAGAGATACACGGCTGCTGTGTATTAATGCACAATGCTGTATACTGGGGATCACTGGGGATCACTGGGGAAGTCTCGCACAGTTTTTCCAGTGTGGTTTTACTGCAAATGGCAAATATTTTCATGAATCTTGAATTAGGGCGATGCAAAAATACATTGAAATTGTGCGGAAGACAATGGACGAATGATGAGAAGAGGAGGGAAACACAATAGGGTGGAGGCCGATAATTAACAAGGCAAATAGAACTGGAAATGAATTGAATTAAACACAATATCAAACCATAAACACCATGAACATGTTTTAGAACGGGAAAAAATGTCTAAAAATAATTAAATAAATATGTAAAATATGTCCCATGACAGAGATGCGCACAAGATTTGAGACAGTAAAAAAAAAAAAGTACCTAAGAAAAATGTAGGTTTTTGTCTCGTCTGTGCGAATAAGAGCGTTTTTGTGTCTTGGTCTGGTCTTGCCATTGGTGTGTGTTTGTGCGTGTGTGTGTGTGTGTGTGTGTTTGTGCGTGTGTGTGTCTGTGTTTGTGTGTGTGTGTGTGCGTGTGTGTGTGTGTGTGTGTCTGTGAAAGGTACTGTAGGGTATTGCTTCTTGTTTTTGTGTTGTGAGTGTGTGTGTTTGTGTGTGTGTGTGTGTGCGTGTGTGTGTGTGTGTGTCTGTGAAAGGTACTGTAGGGTATTGCTTCTTGTTTTTGTGTTGTGAGTGTGTGTGTGTTTGTGTGTGCGTGTGTGTGCGTATGTGTTGTAGGGTGTTTGTGTTGTGTGTGTGTGTATTGTAGGATATTGCTTGTTGTTTTTGTGGTGTCTTCCAATATGTGTCTGAATGGCTGGGACGGATTTCATTCATATAAGCTTAAACCATGCATTTTATTTGCTTTTACTATTGATATTATTATTTTTTGTGTATATTTATGTCTACTCTATCTCTTATGCATGTTTAAAATTCATAAATAAATGAAACGACAAATGGAAACTCTCTCCGCGCCCTTCAGGAGAGCTCGTGTACCTGGCCCAGTCTCCGGACGAGGGAGCCTTGGTCACCGCCGCCCGGAACTTTGGTTTTGTGTTCCGCTCCCGAACCCCTGAGAGCGTGTCCATAGTGGAGATGGGGCAGCCGCGCACCTACGACCTGCTGGCCCTCCTGGACTTCAACAACGTCCGCAAGAGAATGTCCGTCATCGTCAGGAGTCCGGAAGGGAAGCTCTCTCTCTTCTGCAAAGGAGCCGACACCATCATCTACGAGAGACTGCACGGGTCCTGCAGAAAACTCATGGACGTCACCACAGAGCACCTGAACGTGAGTGAGGAGGAGAGAGACACCGCTAACACTTTACACTCACTCATTAAAGTAGCAATATGTACGATTTTCATGTCAAGTCATCTTTAAATGGCCCTAATCTGTCAAAACGCATTAACAAAACATGCTCTTTTCAAATACTTCTTAGTTAGTTCAGAGATATTTGAAGTAGTAAATTAGTTTTACAGCCCTTAAATCTTGTTATTGTTTTCATTTCGATGTCCCGCCCTCCACCGTTTTATCAATCAGAAAGTCTGTGATCCGGGTTGCCAGAACTCACCGTGTTGAGCTAATCTCACGGGTAAAATAACCTTTGGCCGCAGAACTAAAAAAGGTCTCGTTATGATTCTCAAATAATTTATAATAAAACAAGGAATAAAACCAGGATTTCTATTGGAGCTTTAGGTGTTGTTTACGGTTTTATTGTTGACAAAACTCTTGTCTATTCAGTTATTATAGTCCCATCTGGATTTGTCTGCATATCTGGCAACTTGAGTAAAATATTTTTTTTGTCATGAAAACGTTGACAAATAATTCTGAAAACCTCCGTGCATGTGTATTAATAATGTATATGTATAATATGTTCCCGATTAACATTTAAATGTGTTGATTGATTGTTATGGAAACGTAGGCGTTGACCAATCAGAAAGGAAGGGGGAGGAGCTTGGGTCGTTTTTTTTCAAGTCATGTACCTCTCTCTTTTTTTCTGACAAACTCCAGACAATCACTTTAACAGCTAATTAAGGAATGGTATGATTTTTATCTTTACAGGGACAGTGTACAATAAACATTTGCCAAAAGGAGAGATGCAGTCCCTGAGGAGGTTGTTGTAAAATAGTAAAACAAAAGTAAATGAATACATGACCATATATTTGTTACAACATGTTCAAAATCCTTCTTTCCGAGTTTAGTGCATTTTTTTTAAAGTGAATGGTTCTTTGCTTTTGTGTCCAGAGCCAGAGTTCCAGTTGAACAAATATTAGTCTTTAATGAATATATTTTTTAATTCTGCATTTGACACAAACCTCACGTCAGAGCAGAACGTCCCAATGTCGTCCAACGAGACACGATGACCAGCCCCAATGTCCCATTTCACTTTTCTTGTTTTGACATTTTTAAGAGGTTTACAGTTCTGAATGTCCTCGGTCTGTAGAATGTGTAGCCGTCCTCACTCTGCCTGTGTGTGCGTGTGTGTGTACGTGCGTGTGCGTTTGCAAAAAGTGATGAAAAACAGGGAAAATTTCGCAAAATGTATCTAAATTTGAGCACATTTTGACTGCATTAAAACTAGATTTGAAATTGTCACTCTTGAAATGAGAAAATATAGCAACAGTTCTTGAATTAAGACTAAATGGCTGTGTCCCATTGGCAAATATTGTTTCAAGACAGTCAGAATGTGCTCAGATTAAGATTTAAAAAAAGAAAAAATCTGGATTCAAGCATTTATAACCTCATATTTTATAATTTTTTGCAATGTTCGTGTGTGTATGTGTGTGTGTGTGTGTGCTGGAGTTTTTAATTAAAGCTGGGGTAAACTTTCAAAGCACACAAAATATGTATAATCCATCAAATAGTTAATCGCCTAAAACAGTTTGCTTCTATCACTAGTTTTTCACATGATTGTAATTTTTCAGATTTTAGTGTGTAGCCGTCTTCATTCTGTCTGTGTGTGTGCCCCTGCGTGTGTGTGTGCGTGTGTGTGTGTGTGTGTGTGTGTGTGTGTGTGTGTGTGTGTGTAGGAGTTTGCAGGGGAGGGGCTGCGGACTCTGGCCCTGGCCTATAAGGACCTGGATGAAGAGTACTTGAGCCAGTGGCAGCGGCGCCACCATGAGGCCAGCACGGCTCTGGAGGACCGAGAGCAGAGACTGGACGAGCTTTATGAGGAGATCGAGAAGGACCTGATGGTGGGAACAACACAATAACCTACAGAGGATTATTGTGATGTTGGTTTCTCATTTTTGCGTTGTTTTTGTGCAGCTTCTTGGTGCGACTGCGATTGAAGACAAGCTGCAGGACGGAGTTTCTCACACCATCGAGCAGCTCGCTAAAGCCGACATCAAAGTCTGGGTTTTGACGGGCGACAAGCAAGGTGCAGAGTTTGAACTCGTTTTAACTGGGATTATAAATGAACCTACTTGAACATGGAATTATTTTACTGCTCCTACACATAAATGAGTTTCATCATCTTTATGTTATACATATTAGTCTGGTCTCCACTCCCTTTGGTCCAAACGGTTTAGATTGTTAAGTGTAGCACACACAGACTGTGTATAGGTCTAACCCTCGAGCTCAATGAAGCCCAAGGGAAGATTTTCTCCAACTGGCTCTGGTTCCTGTATTCAAAACTCCTCTAGCTCAGTAACTATTTGTGTCACACTCAAAAGTTTGAGCTTAAAGACCCTGGTGTATATATTTTGATATTGTCTTAAATACAGTGCCTTGCGAAAGTATTCGGCCCCCTTGAACCTTTCAACATTTCGCCACATTTCAGGCTTCAAACATAAAGAAATAAAAATTACATTTTTTGTCATGAATCAACAACAAGTGGGACACAATCATGAAGTGGAACGAAATATATTGGATAATTTAAACTTTTTTAACAAATAAAAAACTGAAAAGTGGGGCGTGCAATATTATTCGGCCCCCTTGTGCTAATACTTTGTAGCGCCACCTTTTGCTGCAATTACAGCTGAAAGTCGCTTGGGGTATGTTTCTATCAGTTTTTTACATCGAGAGACTGGAATTCTTGCCCATTCTTCCTTGCAAAACAGCTGGAGCTCAGTGAGGTTGGATGGAGAGCGTTTGTGAACAGCAGTCTTCAGCTCTTTCCACAGATTCTCGATTGGATTCAGGTCTGGACTTTGACTTGGCCATTCTAACACCTGGATACGTCTATTTGTGAACCATTCCATTGTAGATTTGGCTTTATGTTTTGGATCATTGTCCTGTTGGAAGATAAATCTCCGTCCCAGTCTCAGGTCTTTTGCAGACTCCAACAGGTTTTCTTCCAGAATGGTCCTGTATTTGGTTCCATCCATCTTCCCATTAATTTTAGCCATCTTCCCTGTCCCTGCTGAAGAAAAGCAGGCCCAAACCATGATGCTGCCACCACCATGTTTGACAGTGGGGATGGTGTGTTCAGGGTGATGAGCTGTGTTGCTTTTACGCCAAACATATCGTTTTGCATTGTGGCCAAAAAGTTCGATTTTGGTTTCATCTGACCAGAGCACCTTCTTCCACACCTTGGTGTGTCTCCCAGGTGGCTTGTGGCAAACTTTAAAAGAGTCTTTTTATGGATATCTTTGAGAAATGGCCACTCTTCCATAAAGGGCATTTTTGTGCAGTGCACGACTGATTGTTGTCCTATGGACAGACTGTCCCACCTCAGCTGTAGTTATCTACAGTTCATCCAGAGTGATCATGGGCCTCTTGGCTACATCTCTGATCAGTCTTCTCCTTGTTTGAGATGAAAGTTTGGAGGGACGGCCGGGTCTTGGTAGATTTGCAGTGGTCTGATACTCCTTCCATTTCAATATAATTGCTTGCACAGTGCTCCTTGAGATGTTTAAAGCTTGGGAAATCTTTTTGTATCCAAATCCGGCTTTAAACTTCTCCACAACAGTATCTCGGACCTGCCTGGTGTGTTCCTTTGTCTTCATGGTTCTCTCTGCGCTTTAAACAGAACCCTGAGACTATCAAAGAGCAGGTGCATTTATACGGAGACTTGATTACACACAGGAGCCTTCTATTTATCATCATCAGTCATTTAGGACAACATTGGATCATTCAAAGATCCTCACTGAACTTCTGGAGTGAGTTTGCTGCACTGAAAGTAAAGGGGCCGAATAATATTGCACGCCCCACTTTTCAGTTTTTTATTTGTTAAAAAAGTTTAAATTATCCAATAAATTTCGTTCCACTTCACGATTGTGTCCCACTTGTTGTTGATTCATGACAAAACATTTTAAATTCCATATCTTTATGTTTGAAGCCTGAAATGTGGCGAAATGTTGAAAGGTTCAAAGGGGCCGAATACTTTCGCAAGGCACTGTATGTGTAAATTTCAGATAAGGACTGACTAATCAGATGCCTTCATTCGTGGGGGAAACTCCAGCTTGCCTTAGCAACAGTTTTGGCAACACCTCTGCCCCTGTTACAGCACGGGACAATTTTTATCCTGAATAAAGTAGCTTTTTGCGGGAAAAAAAAAGTTTTCCTGCTCTGGTGGGACATTGTGAAAACAGTTTTGTTTATAGTGATAACACTTTTTTTAAATGCCGGATTGAGAAGCGTTGTCATAGTAGTAATATGTATTGAAAAGATGAATTAAACAGACTCCTTACGTTACCGTCACCGCTCTGTGCAGAAACTGCCGAAAACATCGGTTACTCCTGTAACCTGCTGCGTGAGGAGATGAACGAGGTTTTCATCGTATCTGGAAACTCCCCCGAGGAGGTCAGGCTGGAGCTCAGGTTAGACTCACTGCTCTCTTCACACACACACCTCAGGCCGAGGGATATAAAACCTGCAATTTAGGAATCACATTTTTATAAAACTTAAAAGGTCTGTCTTAGTTAATCATTTGCACTTCATTACTATTGTTAATAACTATTAAAATGATGTATTTTTAATGTATGTACAGTGTATTTGTATAAATGGATACGTTTGCTGGTTTTTCTCGGGATCAATAAAGGATTTACGTATGTTTTATTAAACTGTAGAATGTCATCAAAACTCGCAATGTATGAATCAAAACAGACACATAAACTACATAACATAAGTTTGCTGCATCATGGACACAACTTTTCCAGACAGGCTGTGGTCCCTCCTCTCCAAAAGTGATCACAGCTTTAAGAAGAACTTATTTTTCCCCGTAACAGAAACGCCAGAACCTCAATGAAACCAGACGTGGCCAATGATTCAGTCTTTCTGCCTGAGACGAGTTTGAAAAGACCCAAAGTGATGATGGACGAGGCGGTCAGCGGCGAGTACGGACTGGTCATCAACGGACACAGCCTGGTACGAGCTCACTGCTTTTTCACGGCTTCATTTCGACTGCAGAACTTGAATATCGTAACGCTCATAGGAGGCGAGGCAAGTTTATTTGTATACACACAGTTCATACACAAGGCAACTCAAAGGACTTAACAAAACAAGACAGAAACAATCACAGCCCTATTTTCAAGGTCATGGTTCTGGACTGGTCCTGGTTCAGTTTGGTTTTTCCACCGGAGAATACTGAATGCTGGTTACCATAGCAACACACTGTTTACTGTCAGCAGTTAGCATTTGATCTTTAGCATTAGCCTTTCAACAAACTGTCTTTGCTGTATTTAAAGTTACATTAACTGTTTTTTTGCACGGAGAGAAGGGTGAAATTTATCCAGTGTGAGATCAATAAAGTCTATCTTATCTTATCTTAAAAACCTAAACTTTTTTATAGTTTTATTATGTATTCATTTATTTTAGGCAAACGCAGGAGCATCACAGCTGCTATTATCACAAAAAACATATCTATAACAAAATCAAAAAAACAATACCTTGATGATTTAATTTATAAGGGAGCAGTCAAAATGGTGGCACTGGGAGTCTAAGTAGTTTTATAATTGCGGGAGTCCTGGTGTTAAGGGAAAACCCGACCTTCGCGACGCCGCAGCAGGAGACCAGAGACAGGGAAGGGACGAGAGAGACACATGGGAACTGGGCCGGCCACGATAAAGCCGAAGGACATTGGGCCACCAGTTCACGTGGGTCACATTAACTTATCGTGTTTTGTTTCTTCCGTCAGGCTTATGCCTTGGAGCGCAGCATGGAGCAGGAGTTCCTCCGCACGGCCTGCATGTGTAAGGCGGTCATCTGCTGCAGGGTGACTCCACTGCAAAAGGCTCAAGTGGTGGAGCTGGTCAAGAAGTACAAACACGCCGTCACGCTGGCGATCGGAGACGGCGCCAATGACGTGAGCATGATCAAAGGTGAGGCCGCTCGAGCCGGTAAAGAACTCATGTGCTGGAGAAGAAGGAATGAAGGGAGACTGGGGGAAAAGCATCAAGTGATAAAGAAAAAGAGTATATTATAGCAACAATAAGTGTCTTTTTGATTGATAGATAGATAGATAGATAGATAGATAGATAGATAGATATAGAGCGGTATAGATAGATAGATGGATAGATAGATATAGAGCGGTATAGATAGATAGATGGATAGATAGATATAGAGCGGTATAGATAGATAGATGGATAGATAGATATAGAGCGGTATAGATATAGATAGATAGACATAGAGCGGTATAGATAGATAGATATAGAACGGTATAGATAGATAGATGGATAGATAGATATAGAGCGGTATAGATATAGATAGATATAGAGCGGTATAGATAGATAGATATAGAACGGTATAGATAGATAGATGGATAGATAGATATAGAGCTGTATAGATAGATAGATAGATATAGAACGGTATAGATAGATAGATGGATAGATAGATATAGAGCTGTATAGATAGATAGATAGATATAGAACGGTATAGATAGATAGATGGATAGATAGATATAGATAGATATAGAGCGGTATAGATAGATAGATGGATAGAGAACGGTATAGATAAATAGATATAGAACGGTATAGATAGATAGATATAGAGCGGTATAGATAGATAGATTGATTTTATTCATTCCAGCAGAATCCATACATTCAGTAGTATTTACAATATTCCTTTGTTTACATGACCTTTTGTACATGTTGCCTACTGTGCTTTATGCTTACACATGCAATTATATAAACATAAATATACAATCAAGCAACAGCATTTAACCTAGTTTCACCGTGTGTTGAATATTTACTATTTCAATGTATGTAGATAGATAGATGTGTTTGAACTTATTGATTCTCTGATCTGTGTGGGCAATTTTAGCGTTTTTTAATTTTTATTTTTATCCTTTGAGATATCTGCTGTTTAGATTTAGGGCTTTATAAGATTAAATGGAGTCCCTGTGCTCCTCAGAGTCCCTGCAGGAGGTCAGTCCCTGTGCTCCTCAGAGTCCCAGTAGGAGGTCAGTCCCTGTGCTCCTCAGAGTCCCAGTAGGAGGCCAGTCCCTGTGCTCCTCAGAGTCCCAGCAGGAGGGCAGTCCCTGTGCTCCTCAGAGTCCCAGTAGGAGGCCAGTCCCTGTGCTCCTCAGAGTCCCAGTAGGAGGCCAGGCCCTGTGTTCCTCAGAGTCCCAGTCGGAGGCTAGTCCCTGTGCTCCTCCGAGTCTGAGTTGGTTCATTTGGCACTAACATGTCACAGATGTACTTTGGTGCGAGGCCATGGAGAGACTTGTAACTGGACTAATGTGATCCTACTTCCTGGTTGTGTCAATAATTACAACATTTTGAATAACTGAGAGTGTGCTGCTGTGTCCCTCAGCGGCTCACATCGGCGTGGGCATCTCGGGGCAGGAGGGCATGCAGGCCGTTCTGTCCAGTGACTATTCCTTCGCACAGTTCCGGTTTCTGCAGCGCCTCCTGCTGGTGCACGGCCGCTGGTCCTATCTGCGCATGTGCAAGTTTCTGCGTTACTTCTTCTACAAGAACTTCACCTTCACCTTTGTGCACTTCTGGTACGCCTTCTTCTGCGGCTTCTCTGCGCAGGTATGTGACCAGTCTGGGAAAGGAGCTGCTGGCTCTTTACTGTCTGATACGTGAGAAATACATTTAAGAAGTTTTTAATCCCAAACTGAAACTAATGTGTGTTTGCAGACGGTCTATGACGAGTGGTTTATCACGCTCTATAATCTGGTGTACACTGCTCTGCCGGTGCTGGGCATGAGTCTGTTTGAACAGGTAAAGACACTTTTGTCACTTGGTTTGGTTTCACTTTAGAAATAAAGTAAAAACTGAGACAACTCACTGACATCGTATTCAGACGTGAGCTACATGCTGTCGTCATTTGAGTGAGTTTTACTTAAAAAGTTGATTTAAATATGTGACTGAGGCCGAAAATACATGAAAACTAGTGAAAGAACCAAACAGTTTGAGATTTGTGTTACTTGGATTTTATTTCATAGTTAGTCAACTCTGGCAAACTATGGCAAGTTTAACTGTGGCAAAATTCCATATTAAAGAAATGTTGGATGTTTTCTCTTTCCACTTGAACTTGCCTCAGCTGAAGCCACCAGACTGATCGTTCTTGCTTACGTGGACAAATTGTTCTTGCTTACGTGTTTATGTATTATGGATAATGAGTAAAACATTGTCGTAAAACAGTAATTTCAGAAAATGCATTTGAAATCTTTCTTCAAAAACGTCCTGTGGCACCGCTCTCTGTATTTTTGAATTGCATTACAGTTTTTCTCAGTAGCTTTGGTGCACTTTTCACACCATTCTTCACATTTGCACAACTGTTGGTGCATTTCTCAGAACATTTAGTGCAAACTGCAGAACCTCGTGGATAACCTGCAAAAATGCATCACCTTCTCAAAAGGAAAAGTTAATTCCTCAAAAGCAAGTCTTCAGGTCAAAGAAACTGTCTTTGTCGTCAAAATAATAAGTCCTAACACAATTGAGTATGAACAACAGTGAAATGACTTAGTCACATTTTCATTGTGAAAGTTTACTCTAAAAAGTCAGATCTCGGTGACACTCGGTGAGCACTAAACACTGTACAGCCAAAAATTACAGTAAAGTTACACATGCCAGTATTTAGAGAAGTAACTGAGTACAAGACACATATGTACAGTATGTACCCTTTGTATGTATGCATGTGTTTGTATGTGTGTATCTATGTATGTGCTGTATGTCTACCACATATTTACTGCAGAAGCTCTTTGCAATTCTACAGCATTGTGCAACAAAAATACAGTCACATACTGTACATGTATTTACGTAAAACAAACAAACAAACACAGAATATCTTTATGGTAGAACTGTGACAAATATAAACAATAAAACACACACCTCCTCATGAGTCAATGCTGAAATTCACCTGAGAGACATTGTTCAATTTAGGAAAGATTTTCAGGAAATAAAAATAAAGGAATGTATTAAATTAGCTTGACAGATTTTGGTTTTGAACTAGTTCAACAATTTTGTAAGTATGTTTCATTTTGACTGACAGGACAGAAGCAAATTATAATGTTATCAAACAGCAGAGAATTGTTTGAAAGTAACTGATACATGAACAAAAGCATTTGTAAAGTGTTCAAAGGAGAAACTGCTGCGATGATGTCACACACGACTCAGTGTTCTGGAGGTTGAACTACACGTAATAGTTTTGAGATCTTTAAGTTTGATGTGAGAAACGCACCAAAGCCACTGAGAAAAACTGTAAACCGCCTCCAGAAGTGATCAAATATTGATTGCACTACTGCGCCCCCTGCTGGTCAGGACGTGAACGACTCATGGAGTTTCCAGCACCCGCAGCTGTACGTGCCTGGTCAGCTCAACCTGTACTTCAATAAAAAGGCCTTCGTCAAGTGCGTGCTGCACAGCAGCTACAGCTCCCTGGTGCTGTTCTTCATCCCCTACTTCTCCGTCTGCGACACAGTGAGGGACGATGGGAAGGATTTGGCCGACTACCAGACCTTCGCTGTCCTCACTCAGACATGTCTCATGTTTGCAGTCACCATCCAGGTGAAATACACTCATCTGTTTGACTCATAAAGTAATAAAGGTCTTCCACAATAGGACAGTATACCAATGTAGCCCCTGTTCTATAATAATCATGTTCCATGTTCCCAGCTGGGGTTAGACATGTCGTACTGGACGGCTGTAAACATTTTGTTTGTGATCGGGAGTCTGCTCATGTACTTTGCTGTGACATTCACCATGTACAGTAATGGTCTGTTCCTCATGGTACCATCATTCTCCTCCTTCATCGGTGAGTCAGCATCGACACGTTGTTGTTTATGATCAGAACCACTGACTGTGTGTGTTTGTAGGAACAGCTCGAAACTCCTTCCAACAGCCCAACATCTGGCTGACTGTGGCCCTGACGTCACTGCTGTGCATCCTGCCTGTGATCACCCACCGCTTCCTCATGCTGAAGCTGTACCCCACCATCAACGACAAGGTGACACACACACAAATACACACTGTACATACTGTATATAAGTTATATATGTTATGTGATGTTCACTGTTATATACATGTTCCTGACGGTGACTTCCTTCAGGTGATGATCAAAGTGCGACAGGCTAAAACCAAGCTTCCTCCTCCGACTCGCCGCATCCGCGCACGCCGCACCAGCTCCCGTCGTTCAGGTTACGCCTTCTCCCACGCTCAGGGCTACGGCGACCTGGTGACCTCTAATCGCTACCTGTCCCGGCGGCCGGCAGTGACGCGCTCCACCGGCTTTGCTCACATTGGCCGCAGTACCGGGTTCAGCCCCATGGGGCGCTCTGCGGGGTACAGCCCCACAGGGCGCCCCCAGAACAACAAGGCCAACAGTGTGGAGGTGATGTCACTGCAGATGTACAGGACGATTGAGGAGCCTTCGCTTTGACAAACGCCTTCATCATAAAAACTCTTGAATCATGACAGAGCTTTGAAAAAACTCTTCACAGGAAAAGTACATAAGACACAAACACAGTCCTTAAAGAAGCTATACCCGATTTCTTTTTAAGGAGTTCATAAAAATGCTTATTACTACATACAAGTTGTATTATAATCCGTAATTTAATTGAAAACTTGAGCTCATTGATTCAGCTGTGTATAAATTCAGGCTGTAGCATGTTAGCAGAATTGGCTCTAACTCCTCTTGCTGTAACTGCACACACAGCAAAACAGCCCAAACGACACAACAGAGAGGAAGAGAAGAGGGAACTAAAGCGAAAACATTTATCTAAGAAGAAATCAAGCCCGGGTGAACATAGCTAGCTTACATCGTATCCTCTGGAGAGACTTGTCTGTGGGAGAGACCTGCGGGACCGCCTCGGACTATCTATGCTCGGACTACATTCGGACGTGAAACTAGTGGTTATCTTTTAGTTATATATTTTGTTAGCAGTGCGTTGCTTTTGTACCATTTCATCAGTGATTGTACAGCTTACAAGAAGTTGCGTTTATGCTAATGTTTGCATATTGATTGCAAATAGAACTAGATGGTTCCGTGGGATGAGAGCAGAGGGGAAATGAGAAGCCTCTGAGCGAGTTGAGAAACGGGTATAGCTCCTTTAACTTCAAACCAAAGCTGATGTTTACAGACTGCTCTCTGAGAAAAACACATGCTCATTTGCACGGTTTTATACTGTATGTTTTATAGTGTTTTGCATCAACATCTGATATTTACAGTCTATGATCAACAAGCATCGGAACAAAGTCAATTAGGAAAACAGATTTTTGTGAAGTTAGGGTTGTAAAGATAAATGTTTTTGAAAATAATTATTTTTTACTTCCGTGTAATTGGATGATTGCCAACATTCCAACCGTTCATGGTATCCATGAAGGAAAACATTGATCCCTTAAAACATTTCAAATCCAGCGGGGATTTTTTTTTTAATATATATATATATATTTTTTTGTGTGTGCTAATTTATCTTTATTAAATCTGTGGTTTTGCTTCATGTAATCTACTATTTTTATACCATATTTATACAGTTATTTTGCATGCACAATCTGATTCCACCTACAGAATGCAAAGAAGACAAAAACCTGAATGTTTTTATACATGCTTTTTCCACTGTTGTTGTTTTTGTCGTATTATTTTGTATCTGTTAAACTACAATTAAACATATGATTATTTAAACACTTTCTGGTTCTGCGGTAATGTGAATCAGATTTTTGTTGTACTGCCTTTAAGTAACAGTAAGTCACAAACGTGGAACTTGCTCTTGCTCATTATAAAAGTTAAAAAAATATATATATGTATTGAAAAATTTAGAAATACATATATCGTTTGTAAATTGCTCCGTGTGGTAAGACCGTTATTATTATAGATCCATGGGTAAGACCAGGCTCGAGCAGTAGCGGACCCCGTGTGAATAAATGTAATGTAATGACAACCCTCTACCAGCAGGTGGGGGAATAACTCCTCATAAAGCACAAATAATGATCTTTATTTACCAATTTGAATGATTTTGAGACGTTTGAGTGTTACTATCGCTAACGTAAGGATAGGCTCATATCAAAAACGTATAAATTACAATAATAATAGTAGTAAAAAAAATAACAACAATAATAATAACAACAATTAAAAAAAATAAAGCATTTACGTCACAAATGTTGAGAACTTTGTGACGAATGTACGAAGCTTGCAGTCAGCAAATGTTTACTGTGGTCCATGGTCAAACCTTTGATTAAAAATGAAAGTTTGCTGCCCTCGTGCGTGTCCGGCTCATGTAGAGACCGTAGAGACAGCGGTGGTGCGTTCACGGCTCCGTTTAAAACACTGTAAGTAAAATGCATGGATCTCAGAACTTAGAATGCAATTTTTTCATGATAAATAAAAATGGCAGAGAAGAGTTACTACTTTTCATGTTCGAAACAATGGTGAGCGAGCTTTTTCATGATCATAAAACGACCCAAATATTAATTATCTATTGGTTTTGTGCACAAAATATGCATTTGCAATAGTTGTGGTCAGATGGACCCTAAGTTCAAATATGTATTCAGTCACAGCTTAGAGACACAAAGAAAAGAATGAAAGAAAATTGAATAAATATGTAAATAAAAAGCATAGACTAGTTCAGACTCTCTAACCCCTATTCAGGTCACAGTTCTCTTCATTGTCCCATTGTGTTGTTTTTTATCTGTTTTTCTATTCTATTTTAAATGCTTTGTTGTATTTGTATATGCATAACATTTACAATACAATTTCCAGTAGTAGTAATAGTAGCAGTAGTAAGAGTAGTTAGTAGTGCACAAATCTTGAGTGATTCTATCAAGAGAGATCAAGTCTATCTTATCTTATCTTATCCTAGAAGTAATAGCCGTAGTAGTTGCGTCCTTATTATGATTCATATTATCATTGGTGTTATAATCAGCATCTGTTCTTACACATTTTATTCAAACATTATTCGAAACTGATAGCACCGTGTGTGTTTCAATAAAGGCCTATTTATCATTTTTGGTCGGTTATGTAAGGGGAGACATACACATAAATTACAACAGAAGATGCACACCTGTTTATAGCTGGATTATTTTAACTATAGTCTATTAGTCAATGATGTATTCTGGCTCACAAATGGGCATTCATGCACAAAAACAACTGCGTTCCAAAATAATTTCAAGGAAGTAACCAATAATTTCAACAGTACATTAGGCCATAGGTTTTATGCTTGCAATAAATATGTAAAAACAGGAACGACTCGGTGGCTACAAATACAACTACAACAACTACTACTACTATTACTACTGTCACTTCACTTTACTGCACTGTTAAATATCTGTTGTGTGTACTTAACGTGCACCTGTATATAAAAGGAATTTTATCTGATCAGATTTTCTCATGCATGCCTTCTATCTATTTTCTATTTTATGACTTGGGTTCACCTCGAAGTCACAAAGTATAATATACGTTGTGACTTCCTGTTACTTACAATGGCAATATTACAAAAAAAAATCGCATACTTATACTATAACTGCATCTGCTTTACAATTTGAAACTGAAAATTCCGACTGCCTTGAACGCGACCAGTGCAACCACCAGACTGCCTTTCTGATTTCTCCCCATTCACGCCCGCAACATTTCGCCCATTGAGATGCGAGCAGCCTTCCACAACAAACCCGGGGAAAAAACTCGCCGCTGCATGGTCGCCACAATGTAAGGAATTGTTACCACATTTTTGGGCTGAGAATTATAGATCTAAACACAACGTAACTCCAAATTAGACAACGTGCTCGCCAGTTTAATCCTTCTGCAAGATATTAACCCTACAACACACGCGTAATAATATTTATATTTTGGCTTTTTAATGCCGCTGGAGAAGGCTTAAGACACCTGCTCAGTCCAGGTCCAAATTTGAGGAAGGCTGGATCTATGCGCAGAAGGAGGTGTAGCAGTGTTTCCCATGGCTACACCAAGCTTTGCTCTGGCTTATTTACACTCACGATCAGCCTGCATTCACAACACAGCATTTGCAACATCGTTTGTGTTGAATTCAGAACTATTTTCCACGCGTAGTCGTAAAAAAAAGCAGGTTTGTGGAGTCGTGGCGTGGCCCTTCTGTCGCTGTAGTCCTTTTGTTGCTTTCTATAGGCAAGTAAGTCTAATACATGTGTTTTTTGTGTCTAGAAACTTCTAAAGATGGAGAGGAGGAGTGATCGTAAAACTGGATTTCCTTGGTTGTAGAGTGGCAGCGGTGGTGGTGGTGGTGATTGTAGGGATGGAGTGAAGAAGGACCCCGCTTTTTGGAGACTATTCATTTGCCTTTTGGTCAAGTGCCTGGGCAGTCTGCATCATGAATGTCTTCAACCAGGAAAACGTGGAGGAGTTTTATGAAATCGGGAATGAACTGGGAAGGTAAGGCTTGCACGTATACACTGCTGGATTGTGCAATGTTCTTTGTAATGTAGTTTTGGAGCTATTTGAGTTCACTATCACATGGATGCACGGGATTCTTTAGGATTCAAGGGCTTGGATCGTGCACGTTTCAACAGAAGTGAAATTGAATGGAGATTTTTTTTCAGTAGGGTTTTTGTATCTTTTAACATTGTATGTTTCTGGTCATGAATAATTATGGATGTGACATTGCACTGTCAGAATAATTATTATACACATTACTTATGCAGTGCACAAAAGACTCAACAATAAAAACAATAGATATACATTGACCAAGATGCTTTTCTGTTTCATACAACATAAGCCAGGGGTGTCCAAACTTTTTAGCAAGAGGGCCACTTTAGTTCACTAGGCAGTACTGAAGTTGGCTGAATGTTTACCATCTCCCCATCTCTTCAGTAGCACCATTAACAGAAGTGACACAATCAAAAACCACGTCAATACAGTATGTGCTAATAAAGCCAAAGCTGAAGTTGGATGGATGACAAAGTGAAGACTACTTTGAGATAGCAAGGCAGAGGACCACATAAAATGGCATTTTGGCCCCGGCCCGAGTATTTGAATTTGTAATATAACAGTTAGAGTCAAATCCATGTCCAGAGATGCCTTTAAAGGAGAATGATACAGAGGTCTATAGCTGCTTCTCCAAGTGGAAGTGGGCAGATGTGGGATCAGTTGTGTATGAGTCCTGGAGAGGGCATGTAGACCCGGGATATGTGTACTCTGGACTGTACTGAGGGAACTTATACCTACAATGTGAGAGTGACGTATGAGTCATTGCAGTCAAAGTGAAAAATATCAAGCATTTATTTTATTATAATGTTGGGATAATGGTATAATTTTCTCACAGCTTGTAAAACTCCCAAATTAAATATCTAGAAAACTTTTATATAAGAATGGGGTTGATGTTTATAATATTTTTCTCTTCATCTTACTCCTGTTCTTTATCATGGAATGTGTTACGGTTGCACTTGCTGGATTGTTGTGGTATTTTGTTGCATTAC